AGAAGTCTAGGATTGTTTGTGTGAAGAACACTGTGGGATAAGGATCAGAGATGGGTGTGCTTTTGGGTGTAGAACTGTTTGGTTGGAAGCTGCATATATGATTAGTTCTGTATATGCAGCAAAAAATTCTAAGATACATGGTGTAAGCAGCTAGGGATTGCAGAAAGAGAGTTGCTATCATGTTCAAGGTGTTTGAATGCTCTTCTGCATTTTAATCCATCTTTTCTACGGAGTTCCTTTGTCATGACTGATAATACCCTGTTGCAACTACATGTTGGACTCTCAGTAGGTGATTATCAGACACTGTCATTTTACGTGTCTGGTTTCTGAGCCCCCATGGCAAGGATGCCAAGCTTTTCATGCCAAAATAGGCCACCATAAGCATTTCTAGTCCTCCATTAGAGATACTGCATAAAAATTGTCAGAAATTGACTTACCTCAAGATATGAGTGCACTGCGTTCAAATTACTATGTTTGTAGATGTATCTGGGATGACTGTGGCATTGGTACAAGAGGCACTAAACTCATCCTAACCATGAGCAGACAGTTTCTTCAGGAGGATGCTGTGGGAAACTGTGTCCAAGGCTTTATTGAAGTCAACGCCCACAGTCCTTCCCTCACCTGGAAAGTGGTCTGGTGAGAACTTCTGCCAGCTCCCTCAGTACCCTTGGGTGGATCCTGTCTGGCCCCGTAGACTTCTGTGCATCTAATTGGAGGATCAGGTCACACGCTACTTTCCCTTGGATTATGGGGAATTAATTCTGCTCCATATCCCACTCTTCCAGCCCAGGGAGGCTGAGCACCTGAAGAACAACTGGCCTTGCTACTAAAGACTGAGTCAAAGAAGGTATTAAGTACTTCAGCCTTTTCCTCATACTTAGTCACTGTTTCCCCCTGCGTCAAATAAAGGATGGAGATTTTTCTTTGCCCTCCATTTGTTGCTGATGTATTTATAGAAACTTCTTCCATTGTCTTTTATAGCAGTGGCCAGTTTAAGTTCTAGTTGGGCTTTGGCCCTTCTAATTTTCTCACTGCATAACCTCACAGGATCCTTGTAGTCTTTGAGAGTTGCCTGTCATTTCTTCCAAAGGGCATAAACGCTTTTTTCCTGTGCTTTACTACATCATGTAACACATAGAAAACATAAGACATGTCCTGCAGGTTTAGTTTAATGGTCCATCCAGCTAATCCAATATTCTTTCTCTGACTGTGCAGTAGGAAAGCAGCCAGACAGATTTTTCCTCCTCCCTTTGCCTATTTCCAATGTATATCTCCAGAATATAACAACTGGTAGAGGGTTGTTAAGGTTGTTACATCCTTCTTTACTGCGTTTAGCATCCCTTTAGTACCTGTTTGTCCAGTAAAAGTGTCCAGATTATCACCTTTGTATTCTGTAAATACTGAAGACTCTTGAGCTCCAGATTATTTGGTTTTAAAACTTCAGGTTGTATGTCCCACTGTGCTGTTGTGAGGTTTGTCAGCATTTGAACAGAGCACTGTGATACAGCCCTCAATACCTGATCTGTGCTTTTTAAACTTGGAGATCTATGTGCAAATTGTTCTGTTTTCTACAGTTGAAATTGTAATTAACAGCTACCTTCTAAAGGCAATGTGACTGCCTATGTTTAGAGAAGTGACTTTTCATGAGAATGTGTAATAAGATAGACCATCCTTAAAGGTAAGAGGGGTTGAGTTTTCTTGATATAGCCAGAAACAAAATACAAATGTTGCTGTTTTCAAGACAATTAGTCTATTGAAATACAAAAAGTGTAGAAATAAGCTACTTATGCCTTCATTGTGTAATAAGTTAGGCTGGAGGTAACCTTAGGAAATGATCTGGTCTAAAACTGTACCAGGCAGGGCTTGTTCTTTCATAGAGGTTTCTTTTCTACAAAGTTTGAGAAAACATTTTAATTCTGAACTATACAAATATCCAAACAGTTCTTTTGAGTGGATTATGTTGCATTTTTACACTGCTGCTGTGAGGGAATGTTTTTGTTTCACTTGTTTTGAAATCTCTGATGTTCTTGCTGAAAATTTACAAGTAATTTTTGTTCAGTTTGATTTCAGTGTAAGGGGGTCTAATCACAGAAACGTGCATGAGCATTTGAGACGGGTCACTTCTGAGAAGGTTTAAGGGTAAAAAAAGGATGACAATTGGCAATAATGTACTAGCTGCATTGATTGAGCAGGTTCTAGAATTAGAGATGATGTTGCTGGACCTATATTAAGTTGTGCTGTGGGAAATCACAGCTTGTTGCATTAAATTAGGAGCAGCATGGCACTAGCTCCTCTCTTCTATTTCTGGAAGATTATCTGCCATCTTTGCCTGCCTTTTCATGTTACTAGTGCAATTTAAGACTACAGCAGCCTTGGAGCTGCTTTGGTTTGTTGGTTCCATTTGTAATATATAATGTTACATGCTTCAAGTTAGGAAAAAGGAGAAAAAGAGAAGTGCATAAGGAGTAGCAAAGGGCAGAAGTAATTTACTAATTTTCAAGTGAAGGTGTTCTGGGGGTGGGAGAGAGTTCAAGTGCAAAACAGGCATATTGCTGAATTTAATCATATTTAAACTAATGTAGAGAGCCATATTCTGCACTGATCTCTTGCAAACCAAAGACATGTATGGTAGATTACCTCTGAATACAAAGCTATATTTTCCTACTCTCAAAATGTGGAATAAGTCTTCACGTAAAAACACCTGGTTAGTACAGCAGCTGAACCAAGACTTTACATCTGTAAGCACTGCCATACTTTTAACAAAGTAAACAGCTGTTTTAAATTATTGTCTTTATATTAGCTCTTTGTAGTTAGACTTGAATTTAGTATTCTGATTTATTCCTCCTACACTGCAGATACCTAAATGTATGCTTTGATTTTATTAAGTTGTGTGACATCCCAGCTACGGTGGTGTTCTCATACTGTATTTTTCTCATGGAGTTTAATGTTTATTTTAAACCTACTTTGGATTCTGGTCATAACATCTGGGGTTTATGTGCCCATTGTTCCTTCTCTTCATATATTATTTCAATTCCCTGTGCAGTCATATTTCTGAATAATTCTATACAGTTATGAAATCAGATTAAGTGAGGAGGGATAAACAACTAATATAATATGCTTCAGACCAAGAATAGAAAAAAAAAATTGATTTTTTTTCAATGCATAAAAAAAATCCATTGCAAATAACTCTTGCATTACATGCTTTTATAAAGTAAGTGTGTATGTGTAATACACAGTAACCATAGGTACTCTGTTACAAGTAATTCACCAACACCTGAGTGAGTTGATGATGGCTGTCTCTCAAAATGAAGGGTTAGTACACTTTGCAGTTTACTTCGTTATCATCGCTGCTCAGTCATGTGGAGTGCCTGACTTCCTGTGGCCTGTTGTAACTCCATCTGGGATGAACAATATGGAATTTCTTTTGACTTAAACATAGCCATTATGCTCTGTGAGGGGCTGGAGCTGATAAATTTACTCTGTAAAGCTCAAATGAAAACAAGATATATTACTACTTGTAGATAGTTCAATTCATAGCAGTGCTTATATGACTTCCCATTAAGATGTTAAGGACATTTATTTCTCTTTATTCAAAAAGCTCTATTGCCAGGATACTATAGGTGGTGCTGCATTTTCCCTTTGAAGAAAAGATTTTTTTCTTAACTGAGAAGTTGTCATATTATGCTGCATTAGTATAAGTTTTAAAATCAAGAATAATTTTTAAATTAAACTCCATTGCATGTTAAATTAGTCAAGAAATAGTGCTGGTTTATTTTTGCTGGGTTTATTTTTAATGTACTTTAAATAAATGATTTAGAGCTAAGGACCTTGTAATCCCTCTAGCATAGAGCATATCTGCTTTCTGTATTTGTTTTTTCCACCCTGCAAGCATAACTTTTGCATAAAAACGTGATGCATTTATTTAACCTAGTAATAATGAGCTGTTCAGAGATGGATTTGTAGTATAATAATACTGGATGGATTATGTCTTGTGTTGATAGCTATGCCATTTTGTCTAATTCTGGGAGAGAGTCACAAACATATATAAACATAGCATTACCAAGGGGAACACTGAGATAATTCTCCCCAAGATCTCTCCTTCCATAGGGGACCAGCACTTAACAATTAAAGGCAAGAGTTCAGTTCTGCAGGGTGTGAAACTGAGTCAAAGATGTGGTGGGAAAACAGTTATATTGCCAACAAAATGTCTGTTGAAGGATAGGCAACATGTTATACTTACAAATCAATTGCTAGTCTTTTGCCATGTATTTAAATATAATACTTACAGAGCCTATTGTGGCATAATCTCTGTGACATAGCTCACAACTAGTTGCAAACTGCAGTAAAATTAAAGCATGCGTATACTAAAACCCTACTTGAAATACTTATCGGAACCTCAGAGCTATTTTCAAAGATTTAGTGGTATTTGGGGCTGTAAGAAAGCGAGTTACCGTTTCTTTGTTCCATGTTTCTCGTTTTTTCCCCTATGAATGTATTCATTTTAAAAAAAATATTTTTCTGGATTGTATCTGATAGTAATCAGCAATACTGCAAAAACTTCCTTCTACGTGTAAAGTTGAAATTTTATGTAGGTTTCCTAAATTATGTGTATGGTATCTTCAGATAGTTTCAATTACTTCTGTTTCTTGCCTTCAAAAGTTACTTAAGTATCAATACAATTAATTCCAGTGAAGCACACTATCCTGCTTTTCATGTGTGTGCGCTAAAGGAAATTGCCATTTCAAGTATTCAGGGGAATAAAATAGTACAACTTTCAAGCTGGGGGTGGGGCACAGGAATAAATCTGTAAGCAAAATCTTTGATTTTGTGTGTATGTGGTGGGTTTTCTTGGTTTTGTTCTGTGCTTTTTTTTTTGTTGTTGATATTTTATAACAAAATATAAGTTATATATTTTAAAATAAATTTTATAACTTTATTAAGTGATCGGTATTTGTGTGTGGTCTAATGTTAAATGTTTTGTCTTAAATTTTTTCCTGCAGATTTGTTCCTGACTACATCACCAAATTCACAGAAGAGACAAAATATTCAGTTTGAGACATGGGTAAATAAGGTAAGAGAGAAAATACAAATAACTGTTCTGTTAATATCACTGGAGACCTTTTACTCAGGATGAATTCCTCTGCAGATTTTTCAACTTGACTGCTAAGGAAATCAGTATATGGAAACCTTCATATACCTTAGCAGGACTCTGGGTGTCCTCAGCTGTCCTAGGATGTTACTGACATTTAGCATGGTGATCTATGAAGATAAGGCTGATCACTTTTGTTTGTTTGTTTGTTTTTGCAGCATCAAAGATTTTTCATAAGTAAGCTTTCTTAAAACTAAAACTTCAGGTCTTGGGTAAGGTTTTGTGGGACAGAGGTTCAAAACCTCATTTCTATTACAGTAAGTATGCACATGACATGTTGAGAAAATTGAGTCCCATGTTAACTAAATATAACAAGGGCAATTTAAGGTTGGGGTAAAATAGGTCAATGGATTATTTAAATTTATTTATTAAGATTCTGCTGTGGTATTGCCTAACCTGGCTGGAGTCCATGAAGAACCTAATTTTTTTTTTTTTAAATAAAAATTAATGAAATTAGTTGATATGAAACTTAAATCTATCTTAAAATACCTTCATTGAGCCATTAAAAGCTGTGAAATTGCTCTACAAAGCTAGGCAAATTTATTCCCTTCACTGAGGCACCATATAATGCTTTTTAAATATTTGCCTATATGATATATGCTTTTCTGTCCAGCTGAGCACAGGGCCTAGTCTTCTTTTCTGCGCAGAGATGTGTGTCAATTTTTTTTTTTTTTTCACATCTGAGTCATTATAAATTATATGTCAAGGTAAAGATATGCAGTCAAACATCCGCATACTGTCTCCAGAGTTGCATCTTCAACGTCACTGAAGTCTACAAATGGAGTATGACATGAGTAAGCAATATGGATGACTAAACATAGTCATTGTTACCATTTGTCTCCATAGCTTTATATATACTTGTGTACATAGAACTTCATATAAGCTGATTGCAATGACTAGGAAAGTGTGCCTTAGATTATCTTACGTGGCTATGAAAACTTAATGTTTTAAATGGTTTTGTTCCAGCTGTGATCCAGGTCTATGATAAATGAAGATCCAGCACTCCTCTTTAGTCTATCTGATGAAATGCTGCACTACTCTTTTCTGCAGGCCTACATTTTAACAGTAGAAGATTAAAACGAGAAATAAACCAGACCAAATTTAAAATCAAGTTATTTCCTAATTAGAAGGAGAGTCAGAAGCTATTTTTAACAGGTGTGCAGGTGTGGGGTTATATATTATATATATTTAGAAAAATCACATGTCAATATGCATAAATACACATTAGTATTCATAATCACTTGATTAGGACTTAGATCGTTGCTGAAATAACCCCATCTCTTTCTCATAACATAGGAAAATATATGGATAATTGTACCTGTTTATTACTATTACTAGATTTCCATAAGTTTCCATGAAGGATTAGAAATGCAGAAACTCGGTCCCAGTTTTCAAAAAGTGCATTTTTTCCATAGCTGAGATGTCTCTTTATTATCTACTTAAGCACTTTTTTTCTGGATGTGTATTTTCTTCGATTCAAAAGTCAGATTTTATCACTCAGTCTGCAGCTTAGTTTTTCTATCATTTTTGTCTCGTTTCATAGGATGGGAACTTCTCTAAAGCTGGAAAAAGTAAGGAAATGCCTAGTGGTGTGGAAGTTGTTGGACAGTCTGTGTTTGCAGATTTTGGTGAGTTATTCTTCTAAACTATTCTGAGTGTTTCTTTGTTATAGTTTGGTTTTGTACTCTAAATCAAAGAAAAAATATGTTTGGCTCTAAAAGTGTGGGGTTTAAACTTTTTTTTTTCCTTTAAGGTGTTATATCTGTTTGTAATTCTTGAAATATCTGGGGATAATTATTAATAAATGCAACTAAATTCAATTTTGTATCTCAGTACATTCTGCATCATGTGTAGCTAGTTCTGAAAGCTGCACTGAAGGGCTGTTCCTTTGAGATGTGGTACAGTGCCAAACATACTCTTATTGGACATGTATTTTGTTTGTCATGATTTTTTTGTTTCCCTAATTTGTCTCAAGATATTGAGTGAATGTTCATAAATTCTTCACCTGTGCAGACTAATAAAGCTAAAATGTAAATTAATTAAAATTACTTGAATAAAGATTGATGAAACATGGTCAAATCTTAATGGTTGTAACTGAAAATTCTGTGAGGGTTTTCTCAGAAGAAAAACTTAATTTACAAGTAAATCTATTTTTTCAAGGGTTAGTGAGAGCCTGTGTTTTTGTGTTAGAATGTACTTTTTTCAGCCCATTGTGGCTCATCAATGTGTGTCTTGTTACAGAGAACAGGAAATGTTTGGTTTGTAGTCCAAAAAAAACCCCTTTTTTTCTGTGCACTAAAATAAGAATTTTGCAGCCCAAGGGAAAATGCCGTAGGCCTGATTCTGCTGACACTATTGAGAGCAAATAATGTCTTAAAGAACTAATGTACTATATTTATCAAACACACTTGTAAATTGTGAGACTGAGGCTGTCTTAAAATGTTGTTAAATGACAGCCTTGTTGTATCATTTTGGTTTAAAAATCTGTTTCAAACCAAATGACTTTTTTTTTTTGTTTTTTTTTAAATTAAAAGTCAGATTCTGTATTAGACCCAGAGTCCAATTCTCTTGTTCTGTGCTGCTATTTATCAGTACTCTAGTAGTACTCAGGACTTCTAGCATAGCTTTTTTACTGACATTTAAATAGAAGACACCACTGCTGAATAGTTAATTATCCTTAAATTCTTATCTAGCAACAGTGGGTGGTTTTACAGATCCATAGTAAATGAAATAAGGTAAGAGCTGAACAGTGCTCTAGGTTCTTCTGTGAAGTATTTTAACATGTTTTCTAAAAACTTTGTAGGAGTTTCTGTAAAATCTTTTCGTGTATATCTACAAATATAGACATTTATGGATATACTATCTGGAGGAAAGATTAGAATTCTATGGGCTTTGCAGTTAAAAAAAAATTTGGGGTTTTTATAACCATTTTCCAAAATTATGTTCTGAATAATGTCTTAAGTACTAAGTAGAAGTCTGTTTGCTGTTTTGTGTTTTTTTATTCTTTTTAATGATGACAATGCGGAAAGCAGTTGTTACATAGGATAATTTTATCTGTGTTAGGTAGTTAATGAACCCAAATGATATATGAGAATGCTAGAAATTTATCATAATAAATGGTATTTTAACAAACCCTGGGATGGCTTTGGAAAGAGAAGTGGAACTGTTCAAATGCTACAGTAACAACTTTGAGCATGTGAATAAATGGAATGCACGGTGATACAGCAGTGCAGTATAGTGTGTGGTTTTGGTCCAGCCAAGGTTATGAAAAACGGTGGCCAGTATAGCTGGCTTAGCTGTGGGGGGCTACTGCTTTGGAGTTACATCACCAGTTGTTTAATACCCTGCTCTGCTAATTATCATCAAGTTCATGGACAAAACATTAGGGTGAGGTGGCAGTGGAGCAATCTTTTTAGTAAGGATTCATATCATGGGAGAAAATGTGTGCACGGACTCAAGAAATGCTTGCAAATAAATGTAGAGGGACAGCACGTATGGCAAAGCAGGCAGAGGGGCAAGTATCTATGGGAGGAGACGTTGGCTTTTCAGAAGCTGACTTTTTGGAATTAGTTATTCTGAAAGCTCTCTGCCATTTCATCTCTTGAGAGAATGCCCAGCACAGATCTTAGTATGAGGGTCTTTCTTCCTCTTCCTGAAGGGCTACTTACATACCATCATCTTTTCCTTCATTCCAGGTCACTCAGGTTCATCTAAGGTGGGTGAAGGATGGGAAATGGTTTAATGGTCTTTCTGCCTATTCCTCTTCCTAAGCAAGTGAAAAGATTGCTATAAACCCATGTGTGTGTCTTGACAGAGGATCAGAGTTTATTCTGACAACTACAGAAATACTTACAACTATGCTTTCAAATTTACTAGTTGAGTACTATTATGACTTTAAACTTTCTTCTGTTGTAACAGTGGGTAGGAAATGCAGTAATGCATCTTTTTGTTTTTCCCCAATTCTATACATTAATTTAAAATAACTAAGACATCAAATAGTTATCTTCTAGTTGTACTAAGTTTTAGAGAATATTGATGTGAATATGGTGCTAAAATGTGTATGAGTAACAAAGGGATATAATTCTGAATTCCGTGTTCTTTATGAAATGCAATCTGGAGGAAGTTGAATAATACTACCATCAAACAATCCTATCTACTGCAAAATAGGTCTGTGTTAAGAGTAGCTACACAGTAATTGGTAGAAGAAAAAAGCTTTTAATGCAAAGGAGGATCTTACTTGAGTTCTGCTGATGTGCATTTTTATTCTGTTATTTTGTTCTGAACCAGTCTAACAATAAAGAGGCAAAAATCTCACATTACTAGAATGACACTGGATCAGAGTAACTGCATTTGCCCACCATATGTTTAGATACCTGAAAAGGTAGACATTTATCATACAGATTCTGCTCGTAGTGAGCTAAAGTTAAAGAAAATACTTTACTTGAAATGGTTTGTCAGACCTGAATATTTTTTTTCAGTTTTCCATTTTGAAACTGATGAAATAATGATTGTCATAAGTCAAAGGAAGATAAGGTATGATAGCTTGCAGTTTGAAATAGTAATTTGGCTATCTGTAATGGGGCCTGAAAGAGGTTTGATTGCACAACAAATCAAAATAGCACGATGAAAATGTAAAATGAGTTTTTACTATCTTACAAAAGATTGCACTACTTTCTACCTAAACAGCTTTTTGCCAACTTGTCTGTGGTACACTGAGCAGAACATCCCATAGCCCTCTGACTCTGCTCTATGCATGCTGCAAGCATCCTCACTGTTGGCACTGGGGTACAGCTGCTGTGAGTGGAAACATGTTCAATGTTCATATCATAAGCCTGTTACATTCTTACTTCTGTGTTGCCTGCCTCCAATTTCTTTTTCTTTCTTGACATTTTCTGTACCTCATAGCTGATGCACCAGCCTTGCCATTCACTAAAGGTCTCAAAGGATTCCATATTTCTTTGTGCTTTCGCTCTCTGCCACTTCTCGTTTCCTTTGGTGTCATGTGCAGGCGTGAGCTTGGGAGCGTCACTTGTGCTGCTGCCTGCTCATTGACACCCACCTTTGCATTTCTGTAGTCCAAGATTCTGATTTAGTGATCACACCTACATCTTGACAAAACATGCATTGTTTCAAAAGGTGACTTTGTCCAACATTTCCTGCTTCAAAAAGTTTTATTTAAAGTACCCTTTCCAGCCATAAGTATTTAGGTGTCATTTGAAAAAAGAAAGAAGCCTTGAATAAGATCCTAACTGAAAACTTCCAAAGGCAACTAATTTTGGGTAAGATTGCCTTTCTTAAACTAAGGAGGTTGAACAACAGCTATGAAGCATAAATTTAGATAGTTGGAGTTGGAAAAAGCAGCAATTATGTGACTCACAAGAAAATGTCACAGTTAGTGTAGTCTTAGCACTGTGTTCCTGAATTACTCAATAAATATATATTCTTTTTGTGAAAAAGATATACCAGTGTATGTTGGTATATATCACTGTATATGTATCTGTAAGGTCTGCTACATTTCTGTATGTATGTGTATATTTTAATGGAAAAATATACAAAAGCAGGTGTGTGTATGTATATAAAAATTTATGGTACTGTGACTTTGTGTCAAAATTGGAGCCTCTAAAATAAATAGCACTCCCCTCTATTATATCATAGTGATGGTTTGTACATTAACCTGACCAAAGGGCAGGGAACAATTGCCAAATCTGTATTACCCTTTTAAAAATAAATCAGAAATGCTTTATGACATATTTATTACAAATTGCCATTTCAATTGATTAAGGTGAGCAGAGCTGGACACTAGAGAATTCTACACTTATTTAGCTGACATATTGCTCCAAACAAGTAAGAGCTCTTCATTATTACTTTTTCTATTCTTCTCATGTCACTATGGTAATTGCAGTGCAGTGGTTGCTATAGCAAAAATGATTAATCCTCCGTTGTTATCTGTATGCTAGCAGAGGCTTTTTATAAGATCTGCTTGTACTGTCTTTAGAGGAAATCATAGGTTTTGGCTAGAATCCTGATAAACAATTGCAATTATAAAGAGTTATAAAAAAATAATGTCATTTTAACAAATAAAAGATTTCCCACTATTTTAAGACATTGAAGGATTTCAGTTGGGGTGCTCTGAAACTGACCAGGATTTTTTTTTTTTGTAACAAGATGAATGTGAACCCTGTTCTGGACACACAAACCTGATATTTTCTTGTTACTTTGAAGATGAACAAAATGTGTCTTCAAAGTAGTGACCCCAAAGCAATTAGCATATAATTTTAAAAATATATAAAAATATTTATAAAACTATGCTGTTTATACAGCCATAATTCAGTTTTACAGGAAAATGTTTTAACTGCCATTCATACTGTTGATAGTGTCCTTCTAAGTAAATACAATACAATTCTTACTTTCTCAAGGTAGCATTTAGCCAACTCCACCTCAGTTCTTTGTCTTTTACTCGCTATTTGTTTTCTCAGCTGCTGCTGAGTCTTTACCTGTGTGATCTCCCCTGATTTATGAAGCCTGTATTTACTCCTGCTATGCAAACTTGCTCAATTTTTGACAAAGGATGGATTTGGATTGTTAAAGCTCTATCAAAGTCTTCTAGGGACCTGAACTCTAATTTCTC